ACCCTGGTGTCCCAATGAACTAGGATCCCGCTCGCCAAACAGGGTAACCAAGTACACACGACCAGAAACAGCAACAGGAAGCAAGGCCGCCACACTCCGCGGGGATGGCCCACTCACACCATCCGGAACAAATGAGTGCGAGCTCCACACATTGGCTTGAGGCTCATATACATCTACTCTACCGCCCTGCTCCTGCTCGCCATCAAACCCATTCATGCGGTACAGCCTCCCTTGGGCAAACGCAATAGAAGTCCCACCGCGCGGTGGATCCGGCGCCGGAGCAAGTTCCGTCCACTGCTTTTGGGATACACTGAACGCCCACAGATCCGATAGCCGGCCCTTCTCGGGACAGCCTGCGTGGATAAAGACGGTGTCTTTTCCGTCGTTGGCTGTGCAGTGGTAGCTGCGTGCTGCTGGGATCGAGGTCGAGTTTGGATTGGAGGGTGTTAGGAGGGACCATTTGTTTGCGCTGGGCTCGAATTCCCAGATTCCACCGCTTTCTTCTATCGGCGCCATTGCTGTGCCTCCTCTTCCGGAGAATAGGTAGATTTTGCCATTGAGGGTTGTTGATGCGGTTCCTACCCGTGGTGAGGGGGATTGGGCGGGGGCTGATTTGGTGGATAGGGTTGCGGCTATGGAATTGGTTAGTTGCATGTATGTGGTGGGATTGGTTTCGAGAGCTTTTGTCTCTTAAATATGTATGATATTGCCTGTGGACATATAGGGAAACTCACAATCTCTAAGCGAAACAGTGTGAACGTCATTGTCTCTAGGTTCTCGCGGCCGCAACTCTCCGCCAAATATGTAGACCTGTCTGTCAATGACGGAGACTATTTGGGAAGACCTCTGTAAGATCTCTGCCTCGATGACTTTGGTCCATCTTGCTTGAATAGCTGCCATGGTGGGGGGATTTGGGTTGATTGGAGTCTTTGGTGTTGGGGATTTTAGAAGACTTGATGTGAATGTCAGACTGCCGAGCCGAAAGCCGTTGCCGCTGCTTTTAACTTTGTTGAGGGGGACCTTGGTGGCCGAAGGCGTGCGATGTGTATCTTGGACAATAACCTCGTTCTACTTCGATTATATGAATTCAGATTTAATCATATCGTTGGTGTTTGATGATAACTTGGCTTAATGTTAAGCGAATGAGTTGATATAGGCGAAAATGAAAATGGCAAAAAAAAAGCTCAATTCTGTATCTGTATAGAACTATGAAAATGGCTCAATGACCATTTAGAAGCCCTCAAAACCAATCACAGATTTCCCTATGGTTATCCCATCCAGTGCCATTCCCGCATAAGTTGTGCCGTACAAAGCCCGAAATATGTAGGCTGGAAGGCTTCACAGTAGACGATTTACTCGACGCATTAGCTGTTAGCAACAAATATCTCCTCTTCAATCACTAGTTATATATTGAAAGGTCCTTTGTACCGTTTATACTTTTTACCGCTATCGTATCCATATAGAAGGACATAATAATTCCTAACTAAGCAATAAAATTAACTTATAGCTAGACCTCCACAGAGCCCAGAAAGCCCAAAGGCCCACCGATGATGGGCTATGGGCCTAGGACAGAAGCCCACTGGGCTTTTGTGGGGGCCCAATGGTCCCTAAACAATGCAAAATATGCCGAGAAATCGAGATGCCAAGTAAAGTTGAACCCTCTTTTATTTTTTTTAAATTACCCTATATTTAGCACCGTTTCTCACTATTATATCTAAGGTAACATTTTATTAATTTAAATTATTTAGAATCAGTTACTAGTTCTATTTCTATTTCACTTTTAAAAACGCGAAAAAAAAAACATTGATTTAGATAATCTAAAAATTATAGGTTCACGTAGAAAGTAGTAGTACATCTATATAAATCCCAAATATATATCATATATCTAGTGTTAAAATAACAACCTTTATATTTCCCGTAATATCTCGACTTCCGCCACTTAGATTTCGTTTAAAATTGAAAATCATACTTACATAGCTACTATGACTTGATATTCTAAGTTTGAACTTCATACGATTAGTGGAAGGTCGTAATATAGCAATTATAGAGGCCGATTTGTTAGCGCCAAGACGGGCTTTAATAGGAGCCTTATGGGCCCCTACTAAAGCACGGTGGGCTGGATTGGGCTTTGGACATTGGCCCATTTATGGGCTTTGCGGAGGTTTACTTATAACTATCGTTTCTCTTCTCTAAATGGCCACATGTAGCAACCATAGATTCTATAGTGTTTGATAAAAATATGAAGGAATAATAGGATAGTAATTAGGCTAAATTAGGTTATACAGTAATAATAGGTCTAGGCGTATACATAACGCTCTCCCTTTCCTTTCTTAGCGTTTAGGGTAGGAAAGAATAACCTCTATTCCTCCTAGAACGAGCATAAGAATAAGAGGTTACTAAGCCTCTTTTCTCTTTTAATTATCGAATCGATCGTTTTACTCCGTAACCAAAAGTCGCGTGACGTCGAATCCTGTTAGAATAATGTTACTGTTATAACTTTCCAAATTAGACCTCTCTTTACCACCACTATTGGACTGGAGTGGTCGCTTGTCAGACCAAGCAGAATTTGTTTGACGCCTACGGCCCGGACCGCAATGGAGGGAGGTAGGTTCTATGAGTTTCAAGGGAATATCTGTCAGAAGTAGATTCAATATACCAAAAAACAAAAAAAGAAACATATATACAACAGTGAGGATTCGCTGGTGGTCACCCACCCAACTACTAACTCACCGGCGTGTGGCTTAAGTACGGCTGAGCGGACGGGAAGCCCTGTTTTCCACACCCTATGGTCGTATATAGTATATACTAGATTCCCGTAGCTAATAACTTAACATTATAACTACTAAAAGAGCGTAAGGACTGAAGCATTGAAAGGTGAATGAATATTGCAGTGTAGCCAGAAGAAAAGGAAGGAATCGTCAACAATATAGGTCTACGATTGGAATGACAAAAAAGTCTCAAAGTCTGTAACATAGAAAGTACAGACTCCAATATAAGTGGCTCTCACTACTCTTATTATGGCCGGCCCTAGAATATTAGCCTCGTTTTCACCTGCGCACTTTTCATCAGAATTAGGTGCAATGAGGCGCGACATCATGTAGAAATCTTGCTCACTCTATCCAAGGATGCTCGACCTTGGCTAAAACTTGCCGAGAAGATATCTAGTCGGCATTCGGTGCCTCGGTATTCCGAAGACCAATCCCCACAACCGATTCCCACTCTACCTGTAACGACCGCATTTGAGATCTGAGCGTATATTGCTTGGAACAATGGAACAAAAACTGACGAGTTTTGCCGGAGTAACCGCTAGTGTTATGGAAGTCGACAACGCTAGCGCTGCGACGCAGACAGTTCGTGCTGTACGCTATGTAGTCAAAAATAGTAAAAGTTGAGACTAATTAAGACATTACTTGTTACTTGCAAGACTGGCTAGTATTGGGTATTGGTAACGTGGGAATATTAAAAAATGAGAATACGTTCCCCCAAACCCCATCTACTAAATCAGACCTACGGCTTAAATGTCACTAACGCTGATCAGCCCTGATATTCCCCATGGGGAAATATTGGGTGGGTCGTGGTGCTATGATTGACCGAGAGGAACGACACCGAATACCGATATAAGAACGGCCATACCTCCGTCCTAACTCCACGTTAGCCTTTTGTTCCATCGGGTTTAACCGGTATGATTGAAGATACTCGACTTTTGATTGAATAAGTAACTTCCATACTTCTCCACCTATGCAGGGTCCACGGGTGGCATAGTTTCAACATTAAACCTACAGTTGACCAATTATGAAGTAAAGCCAACCCCTCATATGTGGTAAGCAATGCTCCGATAGTAACGGCGTGGTCGCAGACCCTGAATCTTCCAAGATTCCCCAGGACTTGCTTACTTCCGTCTTTCACGGAAACTTGATAGAAGACCCTACAACATCGGGCTCGAAACCACGCTAGACCTTTCATGTCTAGCTGATACATCTAATCTAGCAGGCCCAGTATTGAAGCCTGGCTTCTAGCGCCTAGCAAATATAACAATGAACCCCATCCACCTTGCATGGCTGACTATCAATATTATTATCAAACTCGCGTTCAATTCATACTCAACCGTTTCGCCCCTACACTAGCACGTATGTAGGTGAAGAACCTCCGGGGCTAGGTTTCCGTCCCAGGAAAATTAGGCTGTCTATTTCATCGCATTATATCTACCTCAGGGGTTATAGTTAGGGACGGCCAGCCACCCCCTTTCCAGGGACCCGCTGGCAATATTATAGGCCGACCAAGCAAGTACGATCCATAGTAGTTAGGCAGTTTTACGTCTGTATTCATTCATGCTAGGTCTAGGTAATATAGCTTCCTACGCGCTCTGTTACTCTCTTTCCTTTCTGAGAATACCGAAGAGCGGTTTTAATCTCCATTACTTCATTTTCGGCCCATTTGTTAAGCTCGAAAGCCTCTGCTTCTCCGTGATTGGCCAGTTATGAACCGTAATCTTTTAGTGCTTACAAAATGCCCTTGTCTACTGTATAATATGGCTTTTGTTGGCATCGAAAACCTCAAACTGACATGAAAAGGACAATGATCTACAGTAATTATTCTACCCCACGTACCATCCAGTTCTCATCTTCCTGCCTTATTTGTGAGACCAGGTAAATAGAACTCAACATCCGACATCCGCTCCATTAATGTCTCTCTCACTACTCTGTAGTGGTTTCAAAGGCGCTAATATCAAATGATAACGTAACTTTCGCCGGTCTCATGGCTTCGGCCCTTGAATTGGATAATCTCTTCCCTATATAGAAAGGAATCTCTTCCGTATATAGAAAGGAATATATTCCGTGTACAGAAAAGGAATATTGACTATGCCTCGGGCTCTGTCGTTACTGCTGTTGCCACTATAAAGTCGGCACGACCTTCTCGCCATAATTGAAAATACTCATTACAGCTTTCACAGAACTCGAAACTTGCCATAACATCACAATCTATTCTTCCTTGCGCTCAAAATGAAGACCAGTGGTTTGTTCATCGCACTTGCTACTGCTGCATTCGCTCAACAGCACACGCTTTGTGACCAGTATGGTTATTATTCCACCGGCAACTACGATGTCAACAACAACCTCTGGGGCAAGGATGCAGGCACTGGCTCTCAGTGCACCTACGTTAAATCAATCTCGGACTCGGGTGTCTCCTGGTACACCACTTGGAACTGGTCCGGCGGCAAGGGTAACGTGAAGAGCTACGCCAACTCAGGTTATATTGGCAAAATGCAGAAGTACATCAGTGACATCAAAAGCATTCCCACTTCCGTTGAATGGAGCTATGACAACACCGACATCAATGCCGACGTCGCGTATGACCTTTTCACGGCGGCCAACGTTGACCACGATACCTCCAGTGGTGACTATGAGCTCATGATTTGGTATGTATGGCTGTACCTACTCGTTGTGGTTATTTGTTAATCGGGCTGAACGTTTAGGTTGGGCAAGTACGGGACCATTCAGCCCATCGGTACTCAGATCGCGACGGCCACTGTTGCAAACGAGAAGTGGGAACTGTGGTATGGTGTCAATGGTGCGCAGAAGACCTACAGCTTCGTTGCCTCCAGTCCGATCACATCTTGGTCCGGGGATATTCAGGAATTTTTCAACTACCTGACTAAGAATCAGAATTATCCGGGCAGTAGCCAATACCTTATTAGTATGTGATCCTAGGACAAATTCATCGAAATGTGGAACATACTAATGGAAATTACCTGTCTCAGCTATGCAATTCGGCACTGAGCCGTTCACTGGCGAGAAGACTACAATGACTGTTTCGAATTGGTCTGCGAGTGTTACTTTCTAGGGCTGATGGTCACTAGGGCAGGGTGTGCGGCCGGGTGGAGTGGTGTATTCGGCTTGACCTTGGATATGTCATGTATGGGAAGAGAACGTGGGACCCGTGTGTAGTTGGCCAATATCACCAATTGGATTTGGAAATATCATACAACGCTAAACATAAAGCTAAGACGCGGTGGATTCTTGCAGTATTTCTCTAGACTGACTGGGAATACAAAATAAAATATCGCGGTAGGCCAATCTGGGGATTATGAAATGATACGTTCACTACTAAGGTAGTATCATCTAGTGTACGTAAATACTGATATGTCGATCCGTAGTCCTTTTGCCTAAGTTTGGTATGCTTTGTTCTATGCTCTACTCGCTTTGCCGCCAGCATTTTCCTTTCATTAATTTCCCTTTGATCATAACCACGACGAGCCCATGTATAAAAATAAAATCGCAATTTTATTCCGCAATGGTCGTTAAAATTGGTTATCCTTTACAATATACATTTATTACCCCCTTACCTCATTCCTCTGTCAGATATGCTGGGATGATATCTACTTGAAAGGAGGCGCTACGAATTATGAAGATAAATATAAGCTTGATCGCGCCAAGCAGCGGTGAGAACGTCTTATATACACGCACTAGGTCACCTCCAGGCTGACCCGCACGGTAAACCAACAACGCCAAGATCAGTCGCTCGCTTACATTGCCGAAGCAAGATTATACAGAACACCCTTTTCAGTATTCATTCACTGTAATGAAATTCCAAGACAGATTTTACTCCGAAGGCCAAGGCTACTTTGGCCCGAGAGAGAACCCCTTGACCGAAGCTCATTGCAATGTCTGGGATTGGGATCGACTGTGTATGGTTAAGGTCAAAGGGACCGCCAAGCTATTTCCCCCAGACGAGGATGTAGAGGTCCCAATCCTGGCGCAATTCGCGGATTACCTGTCGCCAGAGGTTCGCGCAGTTACAGTTGACGACGATGGACTCCTTGCTGGAGTCTCGACCGATCCGGAAGAAGACGATACTCCATTTGTTGCATATATTCCCTTCTCCGTTGCTGAATCGCTCGCCGATTGCCGAACAATCCAGTACTCTAAACTTCATGAGCTCGATCGGCTTGGACCAGGTGTTGATCTCTCATCATACGAAGACGAATCCGGGATTCCGCAGAAGGTTGCCTTTAAATTCAACCCTTTGGACAAGCCTCAAAGACTAAAGATGGCCTGGGATGAACTCAACCTTCTCAAAGATCTGCCGCCACATCCCAATATAGTGCCGTTTGATCGTGTTGTTCTCGAAGACGTGGAATCTCGGGTGATTGGATTCACAACGAAATACATTCCGGGTGGAACTCTCGACAATACGAATGTGCCTTTTCGATTTGAGTGGTTGCAACAGCTTACCGAACTCGTGGACTTCCTAAACCTGGAACTGGGAATTATGCATCAAGACATTGCACCCCGCAATCTGCTTATCGATCGTGATACAAACAAGATCCTTTTATTTGACTTCGATTGGGCGGCATGCGGAAGAAACCGTTTGCTGGACGGTCGAGATGACGTAACTGGTGTTGTATTCACACTCTACGAGCTCATCACGAAAGATACACGATTTACGAGCATCCCTCACTGGAATCTAAACATCGATATGGTACAGAGTATCTCGGTGTGGACTCGTAATCGGGAGCTGGACTCTGACGTATCGAAATTCCGCAACTTTTTGAATGACTGGCTAGCCACGCGGAAATCAGACGGGGGCTTGGAGCGATATCTCAATGCGCGCAACCAGCTTACCTGGCCCGACCTACCAACTGCGTCCGACTACAATATACCTTTCGAGCTGGGCAAAAATTCGGATGGAGAGCCAATTTGGACAACAGGCCCGCGGTTTAGACGCACTGCGATGGAGAAGGGACAGTACTGTTTTCACTGGGAAAGGCCACCACAGAGTAACTTATTGAATAAGGCTAAAAGTGGCATGCACTAGCCGATGTATGAAAGATAATTTTTCATCACACCGAATCATGATCAGATCTCGTCGGCTACATCTCGCATTGATCTTCTGGATGCCAATTCTCAAGCCAGAGACTCTGTGAGATACTGGAATTCTGTAATTTGTCTTACGTATATGCTGTAAGAATAATGCTTGTGCGTTAACAAATGAATCGGGACAGAAGTCAAACACCGTGAAAAATCCCTTCTATGGCTGCACAATATGTACATAACTCCATGACTTGGCACGTCCATATACCCCTTGGGAGGATACAGGGACACAGGCTTCGCTTGTGTTCCACCTAACGTCGAATACAACAACAGCATCAACCACAAGCCGCTACACCGCTGGAGTATACTGTATTAAAGGTCTTTCTGCCGACTTGCGAACTGAGAAGTATCATAGGCATAGTGCGACGTGATGTGTGAGGGCGTTTTACAAGGAAGAGTCACTGAATCAATCAAGCCAAGCCATATGTAAACAATTTCGGCTTCATGCTTTGCCCTGATTGATTTTATTGGTTGCTCAATATTGGGTAAAAACCAGGAGTAAATACAAACCAATGACAATCACGGGTTTATTTTGAATATCCCGCTTCGCATAAGCCCGAAGCCTCCTGACTTTGGAAAGCCCGAGGGCAATATCTGGACTCAGGCTCTACTTCTGTCAACCACCGGAAGTACAAGACACGAGTCATATTTCCCTCCCGTGTGTACGTAATGTTGGTTAACATTCTCATCCTCGGCTTCCTGAGGCTTCAGTGCTCCGGAAGATCATGACAGGGACTTTGGTTTCATCAGAAGTGACTGGTCGAAAGATGTCGACATATGCGTGAACCTCATCTCGTAAAGGGATCGGTGTGTCGCGGTCAACAAAGGAATCGACAAGCATCTGCTTCCGTCCCTTCCTCTTAGCATAACTTTCGGCAGAACAAACTGCCTTGGGTCGAATTTGACATCGAATGGTTTATACCTAGGGTGTGCCTCGACTGGCAAAGGTTTGACGAAATTGAGATCTGGGGGGAATAACCGAGACTTGGTCTTCTGCGTAGTAGTCATTGCGTATGATAAATGTTCTGTGGATTGATATGAGACATTTGGTGACTTTATAGAGGGTTTCCTTTTTATAGTGTATACCGACATCATAATCATTAAGCGGGCTGTTCCCATATTCACGGCTGGGGAATGCTTGGCCCGCGGATGACAAGATGTCCGCGGAGAAGAGCGCCCAGTGCCGCCACGAGTTTCGGCGATGTGTCCTTGGCCCGCCCGAGCTACGTACGACTCGTTTCTCACTCTCCATGGGTGAAAAGGACATGCCCATTGTGTTTGCATAATTCGTCAACTCCGTCAAATATGGACCGGCGAGCGGAGTTATGATGCGCCGTGATACGCTCCTATGGCCCGCAGTCTTGCGAATAGAGTTACTGGTTAACCCGACAATGAATGGCTAGTTCGGTCTTTTTTTTTTTTTGGTATCACGGATTGTTGAGACACCGAACACCGACTTCATAGTAAGTTAGCTTTTGAGGCATATGGACTTGCCGTGGGTTGAATAGATCCGGTAGTGCTCACAAATTGTTTTATCTTCCGTGTGGAATATCAGCAATAAAAACTACAACTCTCCCTTCGCAAATTCATCCTCAATACCTGCCTTCTACCATCCTTACTTCCACTATGTCGATAGCAATACATTCGACCGCCATCACAGGTCTCACCAACGTCTGTCTGTATGGCACATGCTGCCCACATCACCTCCATCACCAATGTCAGAGTGTTTGATGGGCACAAGATTCGCCCAGCCAGCACTGTCATCATAAATGGGGAATTTATTGGAAGCCTTGATATGATTTCCATACGCCCAAGGAGGCATTTTGCTGCCAGGGCTGATCGACTCTCATATTCATTTGACAGGGCCGGGAGACCTCAGTCAACTGGCTGAGTACGGCGTCACAACTGTATTTGATATGGCGACTTGGCCAATCGAGCTTCTTGACTCACTCCGGGAAGAGAAGGGTGTCACTGATATTCTCGGTTGCGGTCTTCCTGCAACTTCTCCTGGAAGCGCTCATAGCAAAATTCCGACAATGCTTCAGGAGGCAATAGTTGCCAACGCTTCCGAAGCCAAAAAGTTCGTTGGTAACTGGGTTGCAGAAGGGGCAGAGTATATCAAAGTCGTCGCCGATGTACCTGGGCCAGATTAAGAAACAATCAATGCTCTTGTTTCGAATGCCTATCTGAATCAGAAGCTTGTCGTCGTTCAAGCCATCAATCTCATCGTCACACAGATGGCTTAAATCGTTGGCGCAGACGTCATCACACATGCTCCCTTTGATGGGATTATGAGTGATGCAGAAGTCTACCAAATGGTGAAAGACAACCGCATCAGCATACTGATGTTGGTGATGATGAATGTCACGGCCCTATCAAAGTGTTTGGACTTTGAAAGTGCTTGTAAAACCGTGGTCGCACTTCACCGCGCAGGCGTGTCTATCCTGGCTGGGACAGATGCCAATAGTGTACCGGGTGTACCGGCGAAGGTATCATACGGCATCAGTCTTTATGAGGAGCTGGAGCTCCTTGTTCGCTGTGGGATGTCAACAACAGAAGCTCTTCGGCCTGCGACAAGTGTGGCAGCGAAATATTTTGGCGTATGTGACTGCGGATTTATCCAGCCTGGTTATCGAGCTGATCTAGTTTTGATTGGAGGCAACCCGGTTGAGAATATCACGGCAACAAAATCTATTCAAACGGTATGGATCGCTGGGCAGGAATTGAAGCATTCGCAGGCTTGAGGGTTGTGTATTGGAAAATCTTCAAACTGCTTTGTTGTATGACACACGTTTTGGGTGGGATTCATCATCGTTCCAGATGTGGACTCCGGAACTTTACTATCTATGAAAGCGAAGAGGATTCCTTGAGGTCCTCAAAAGCTTCACATATTTTCGGGAAACAGTGTATGTATCTACACATCCTTATATTTTTGTATAAAGTCTACGAATTTAGAAGATCTATGTCTCATCTTCAAGTACTCAGACTTTATACAATATTAATCACTTTTACTTCGGAAGTGATTTAGTGAGGCTATTCTATTTTTATATATATCGTAGTACCTTAAGATCTGTCGTTTTATTCAGGAATTGGCCCTTCATCAGGTCTATGATTTTCCGGATAGTGGAATAGTTGTCGGCGACGACATGCTCTAGATAGAGGTGGCCACCTCTGATGAGGCTACTACCGGGGAGAAAGCGGAGGAAGAAATCTTGATATTCAATCTATGGGAAAGCAGGGACTTTATGCCCTGAAATCTAGCAAACAAGCCTGTACAGTCATTCAACAGGTCCTTTCCAAACCAACTCGTGGGAACCATCCAGACACCGCGCGCCCATCTCAAAACACTCCAGACAGACAACGAAGTCGTTAGCCAGACAGATGGAACATTCGTGGTAGGCGCTCCCAATAGAAAGAAATCGAGTGCATATATCGCACCACGTGGTAGAACCACCTGTCACCATCGAGCTGGCCTCCACAGCCAAGTCACTCTCGCAGACTTTGATGCCTCTTATTTCAGTAAATTGAATGATGGCCTCAGTGACTTTAGTATTCCCGCTTTTTCTGGCCCACCAGAGCAAAGTGTGACCAAAGCCGTCTTCAAACTGCACGCAGGCGCCCTGAAGGGCGAGCAAACACATAACAGCCGTCTCATGCCCGTTTCTTACAGCCGCGAAAAGCGGAGTAGAACCATACTGGTCCTTTACATTGACCACAGCCCCGCAGGATAGAAGTTGTTGCACAACTTCCATATGACTTCTGGCAGAGGCAAAGAAAAGCGACGTCCGTCCACATGTATCTGAAGCTTCAACACGAGCTCCATGCTCGCACAGAAACTTGACAATTTCGAGATGGCCGGAATCCGAAGCCGCAGATAATGGAGTCCAGCCACTCTTTGTCGCCGTATGGATATCGGCATCTGCTCCATGATCGTATAGAAACTTGACAATTTCGAGATGGCCGGAATCCGAAGCCGCACATAATGGAGTCCAGCCATCCTCTGTGGCCGTATGAACGTCTGCTCCATGCTTGTACAAAAATTTGACAATTTCGAGATGGCCAGAATCCGAAGCCGCACATAATGGGGTCCAGCCACTCTTTGTCGCCGTATGGATATCGGCATCTGCTCCATGATCGTATAGAAACTGGACTACTTGGAGATAGCCGGAATTTGAAGCTGCAGATAATGGAGTCCGGCCACTCTCTGTCGCCGTATGAATGTCGGCATTTGCTCCATGCTCATATAGAAACTGGACTACTTGGAGATGACCGGACTTTGAAGCGGCAGATAATGGGGTCCAGCCACTCTCTGTCGCTGTATGGATATCGGCATCTGCTCCATGATCGTATAGAAACTTGACAATTTCGAGATGGCCGGAATCCGAAGCCGCACATAATGGAGTCCAGCCATCCTCTGTGGCCGTATGAACGTCTGCTCCATGCTCGTACAAAAATTTGACAATTTCGAGATAGCCAGAATCCGAAGTCGCACATAATGGGGTCCAGCCACTCTTTGTCGCCTTATGGATATCGGCATCTGCTCTATGATCGTATAGAAACTGGACTACTTGGAGATAGCCGGAATTTGAAGCTGCAGATAATGGAGTCCAGCCACTCTCTGTCGCCGTATGAATGTCGGCATCTGCTCCATGCTCATATAGAAACTGGACTATTTCGAGATAGCCGGAATTTGAAGCTGCAGATAATGGAGTCCAGCCACTCTCTGTCGCCGTATGAATGTCGGCATCTGCTCCATGCTCATATAGAAACTGGACTATTTCGAGATGGCCGGAATTTGAAGCTGCAGATAATGGAGTCCAGCCACTCTCTGTCGCCGTATGGATATCAGCATCTGCTCCATGATCGTATAGAAACTTGACTACTTGGAGATGGCCGGAATTTGAAGCCGCAGATAATGGGGTCCAGCCACTCTCTGTCGCCGTATGAATGTCGGCATCTGCTCCATGCTCATATAGAAACTGGACTATTTCGAGATAGCCGGAATTTGAAGCTGCAGATAATGGAGTCCAGCCACTCTTTGTCGCCTTATGGATATCGGCATCTGCTCTATGATCGTATAGAAACTGGACTACTTGGAGATAGCCGGAATTTGAAGCTGCAGATAATGGAGTCCAGCCACTCTTTGTCGCCGTATGGATATCAGTATCTGCTCCATGATCGTATAGAAACTTGACTACTTAGAGATGGCCGGAATTTGAAGCCGTAGATAATGGAGTCCAGCCGTCCTTCGTGGGCATATAAATGTCAGCTCCATGATCGTATAGAAACTGGACTACTTGGAGATGGCCGGAATTTGAAGCTGCAGATAATGGAGTCCAGCCACTCTTTGTCACCGTATGGATATCAGCATCTGCTCCATGATCGTATAGAAACTTGACTACTTCGAGATGGTCCGAATATGAAGCCGCAAATAATGGAGTACAGCCACTCTTTATCGCCGTATGGATATCAGCATCTGCTCCATGATCGTATAGAAACTTGACTATTTCGAGATGGCCGGAATTTGAAGCTATAGATAATGGAGTCCAGCCGTCATTCGTGGGCATATAAATGTCAGCTCCATGATCGTATAGAAACCGGACTACTTGGAGATGGCCGGAATTTGAAGCTGTAGATAATGGAGTCCAGCCGTCCTTCGTGGGCATATAAATGTCAGCTCCATGATCGTATAGAAACTTGACAATTTCGAGATGGCCGGAATCCGAAGCCGCACATAATGGAGTCCAGCCACTCTTTGTCGCCGTATGGATATCGGCATCTGCTCCATGATCGTATAGAAACTTGACTATTTCGAGATAGCCAGAATCCGAAGCCGCAGATAATGGAGTCCAGCCACTCTTTGTCGCCGTATGGATATCGGCATCTGCTCCATGCTCGTACAAAAATTTGACAATTTCGAGATGGCCAGAATCCGAAGCCGCACATAATGGGGTCCAGCCATCCTCTGTGGCCGTATGAACGTCCGCTCCATGCTTGTACAAAAACTCGACGACTTCAAGATGTCCATTGTGAGATGCTCTGTAAAGTGGTGTGCACCCATCACAGTTGGACTTTGTCGTCCTACTTCCCCACTGGTAGAGAAATATCACCATTTCAAGGGAGCCATGTTCTGCAGCCAAATGTAGTGGGGAATCACCTCTCTTGTTTTGGGCATTCACTAAAAATTCACTTCCTTTTTCTTCCACCGTCTTCAACCCCATCTTAACTACCTCACGCGTGCCCCCTCTGCCAACTCCTACCTTATCGAAGCCCATAGTCCTTTCCCTTGCCTCCTTCGAACTTTCGTCCGGCTTCCTCCATGATCCGGCTCCTTCCCTTGTGTTCGGGTGCAGTTTTCGAGTTCTGGCTGGCATCGTGTTGACCTTTACCTGCCCGCCTTTCCTCGCCATCTTCATTGTCGAGTCCTTTGCCGCCGACTTGGAAGTATCGCCCATTCTCAGCTTTCTGTCGCTTGAAATACCTGAAATCCTTTGCTCCTTTGTGCACAAAATCCTTTTCGCTAACTTTTGAAGGCCAAACTCAGCTGCGATATGCATCAAAGACGTCCCTTCGGTGGCGGTTTTGCTTGAGCTATTCTCCAAACTCTTGCATGCATTGATCCACACACCAAGTATGGTTTCCGTTGGCCATGCAATCTCTTCCCCTAGGTCCCCTCTGTCCGCTATAACAGCATGTGAGACCCAATATGTCGCTGCATAACCTAGAAATTGAAATCTTTCTCTTGACAAAATATCGCTCTCTTGGCAAGCAAGACAAATCTCCTCTGTTGACAAATATTGGAGACATGTGTTTGCCAGCCGCACACTAGCAATCTGCGTGAGGCTTTGAGGCTTATGCAGCCGTCCGTTCAGATAGCTTAGCCCTTTCCTCAGCATGAATTCTCTGATTGTGTCATGGTGAAAGCCAACAATGGCTTTGCCATTACCTAGCTTAGTACTTCCTATGTCGACAAGACCTCGGCTCAAGTGAATCATCCGCTTCCTCATCTTGGCTTCGTTTGGTATTAACTGAGGATTATCGCCGTCTTCATACTCTCTTAACGACCCTTTTGATCCACTCAAGTGTACTGTCATTGCAATTCTGAGTTCATCAAGGGATAGTGACCGGATCGCAAAACAAACCCATTGAAACAATGTGCAAGCTTCCAGTAACTCGTCGTCTTGGATATCTCCTAGGAGACCTTCGTACAGCCTATCTAGCTCTTGTGGGCATCCGAGGAGCTCCGATTTTATTCTTCTCAGACTCAGCCCCTTGCCACTCATATGGTGTATCTGTTGAATGATCAAGACAAGCCAGAGAAATAAGCCACCAGCTTTGCTCAGTAGAGTACGCTTTAGCTCTTCTATATCCGTCACCGATTCATCGGATAGGCGTAATTTCTGTTCCACGAAACTTTCAATATCATTCTGGTTCTCCTCTTCAAGTCGGACCTGAAAGTCTGCCTTGATTTGGCCATCCGGATATGGACGGCAGGTGACGCAAATCCCCGGTCTATTCAGTCTCGACTCAATTTGACCACGTAGACCATGAATGAAACTGATAAGACGATCCCGATCCTTGTCGCTGCACTCGTCAAGCGCGTCGACAAATATCAATATCTTTCGCCGGGCAGAACAGTCAACTACAAGCTTCTGGAAATGAGTTTCAAGCTCAACTTGTTGCCATTTTAACTGCAACCTTTCCCTTGGCTTGCAATATTTGCGGCAAAGTTTCATAAATTTCGGTCGTGAATACTCATCCTGGTCAAGCAATTGAAGCAGAAGAGATCGGAAGAAGCCCAATATGCTCCTCTGAAGTTCCGTGCCGCTGGTATAGAAGAAAAAGGATAACACGATAGAGCCTAAAGGGGCAGCAGCTTCCGTTTGTTGGCCTAGTACAAACTTCAGAAGTGTAGATTTCCCGCACCCAGGTTTGCCTCTGATTAGGAGTAAGCCATGTTCATCGACCCAGCGCAAGTACTCCGGTGATTTCATCAGCCATTCACAAGTACCTGCTGACTGTGTTTCTATGTCTCGTTCCCTGTCGTTTGATTCATCGAATTCAAGTGATTGGAGACATTCTTCTCCGCGTCAGATCATAGGTATCAAAGGGTAAAGCTCGAGCCACCTACCCTCCCAGTTTAGAATTTCACTCTGGCCAGAACCAGATATCCCATCGATCTTATCATGAACATGTATAGGAGACTCCGACATTGAGTCATTTTGTGCGGATGCTGTGTGGGTTTCATCCCTCTTGTCGGTTGCTGGGAAGGAAACAGGGCCGTAAAATATGTTGCCATTCATTTGGTGGGCCTTGGTCTTGAAGCTACCAGCGAAATTCTGTGCTCTTTCCATGCTTGGGACCTCGACGTGATTTCACGTCGTGGAAAATCGAACATATATGCTTCAAAGTTGGGAATTGTTACAGCTGGAAATTCAGTCTCTGATATAAGTTGCGTATAAGTTGCAAAGTGAGATCGTGATGGCAGGGAAGTTCAGCCGCATGCGGGGTAGTTGAGGCCCAACTGGGGGTTGGGTCGAGTAGTAAGATGAGCGTAAATGAAGATAACATACAGAAGGTGATTTCCATCATTCTAATTGACATTTCTATCTTTCAATCCCCCATTATACTCACTTCGCCAGTGCGATTTTTGTTTTCCTTTGCCACGATCATAAAACCATAGAATCGTGCGCCCTTTCGGACCAACACACTTAGCCATGTTGACTGATGAATACACCAGACCTCGGGATCTCCATGCTTTTGAGATTGCAATTTTTTGCGCTCTGCGCCTCGAGGCTGATGCGATGATCGCGATGTTCGATGATATTTGGGAACAGGAAGAACAGTATAAGAAGGGCCCCGGTGACACTAATAGTTATACTTTTGGTCGAATCCATCAACACCCTGTGGTGCTAGTCCACATGCCTCGTATGGGCAAGGCATCAGCGTCCAGCGTGGCGGCCAGTCTGCGGTCTAGTTTTCCATACATCCGAGTGGGATTCCTGGTTGGAATATGCGGTGGTGTGCCTTTCTCCGGGTGTGGCAAACAAGAGATCATCCTAGGAGATGTTATTATAAGCACACATATTGTCCCATATGATTTTGGCAGGCTATACCCGCACACCTATATTCGCAAGAACTTGCTGCTGGACAATCTCGGCAGACCAAGCCCGGAGATTAGTGGGTTCTTATCGAAACTCCAAGGGCAAGCTGCTCAGACCGGTGTCAAGAATTGTATGCGAGCGGACCTTACACTTTTAGAATATCCCGGTACTAGCAAAGACAAACTCTTTGAAGCGGGCTACAGCCATAAACATGCAGTCTCAACGACGTGTACAGTTTGTGCCCAATGCACACACCCCCAAGATGATGTCTGTGCTGAAGCCTTAAACTCATCCTGTGCCGACCTTGGGTGCGATTCAAGCAGAGTGGTACCTCGAGCTCGAATACAGACGATGAATATAAAAGGTTACAGCGCATCATCTTACTGTCCCGCAATACATTTTGGAGGACTAGCTTCAGGCGATCAGGTCATCAAATCTGCGTTCCACCGCGACCTTATTGCCAAACAGGAAGGTGTGATCGGCTTCGAAATGGAAGGGGCTGGACTATGGGACACGATACCGACTATTGTGGTTAAAGGGGTGTGCGACTATGCCGATAGCCATAAGGGCAAAGATTGGCAGATCTATGCTGCAGCTACAGCAGCAGCCTGTGCAAAGGGTATCCTAAAGATATGGAGGGGGTCACTAAGACGGACGGAGGATAGATCCGGCGAAGAACAATCTGGCCCGTCACCAACGCATCAAACTTTCAGTGGCACTTTCACAGCTGGGAAGAACATCTATAACGGTAGCACTTTCACTGCCGAATCGATTAACTTTTGACAGTGCAGTGTCTTGCGATTGTGTACTGCGATTGTGGGAATATTATATGCTAGAAATGATATCAAAACTATCTATTAGTATTAGCCACAGCTATTTAGTAAGTTAAGAGTTGCAGTACTTGTTGTCAATGTTGCCGTCTCTAGAAAGTTTGGAGAAATCAACTAAGGGTTCTAGTGACTGCTCAAATCATGTTCCTGTCATCAGCGAGCGTGTTAATGTGCGCGACTATTGAGAATGGCTCAGTGAGGTCTCGATCGTTATATCGAGGTATCTGCAAACCGACCAGTAAACTTGCAGTTGGCAGTTGGCACAATTCGCCCGAGGAAGAACTAGGCAGCGTTTCTCTGCGCCACCGTGGTATTCCATTATACCGACCAGGATGGGGTTTTAACGTTGAAAGGCCTTAAGGGCAAGTGGGATATTTGATGATAGTCCAAGGTTAATGTTGAGAGTAAATTATCCGGTTTGGTTCTTCTCTGTGTCCGCCGCCTACGTAGCCTTACAGCTATCAGGGCTCACAACCATTCTTCATCTTACATCTACATCCTGCATGTGTCTACTCATAAAGAAACACAATGGATTACAAGATGACAATCCCTCAGCTAAATATAGGAAAGTAATGTTGTTTTTCGTACATTTAACATAGAGTTGCGTCATCTCGATCGTCGAATGATCTTCCGGGGAATACGACACTACAAAATGGCATCTGCACGACATCGTCCATTAATAATGTGAATCCATCACATGTTGTACTTCTTCCTTACCAGTGGGCTTAATTCTTGTATTCGCCGGATATAACTGTGCATTTATCAGCATTTCTCTATGTCATGCCAATATTGCGTGCTGTATTCTGACAAATAAAACTCACCCCCGCAACAGCAGCGATACTATATAAAGGATCCTTCATTATCGCCAACTCTAACTATTATTTGGGAATAATATTTAACTAAGCATACAAATAACTCATCATGGCTTCTGCAGCTGTTCAACTTCCCGCCTCTCAAGGTCCTCTGATCTCAGAAAAGCCTGGAGTCCCGGTTTCCGAAAAGCCTCACCATGTTCGGACTACTCTGAACTTCTTTAAAGAGAACGAGGATGGCTCTCCCCCGGAACCAACATATACCAGCAAACCAGAAACCTACGATCGACCAGCCGCTCCTCTCGAGACCACCGTCCATGACATCAGCGGCCATGAGCTTGACTACAAGCTAGACAGCCATGGGTTCCAGCTCTACTACCACGAAAGCCAAGAGAAGGACTTTCTAGACGACGAGAAGATCAAGGCCGAATACTACCCAGAAACAGAACAACTGCTAAAAGACGCGTACGAAATCCCGAAACTTCAAAATCCTTTCGAATGAAACTAACAACGACCTTGACAGCACGGGTGCCTCCCGCATCTTCATCTTCGACCACACCATCCGCCGTGGCCAAACCGACGGACCCATCCGTACCCGGCTCCGTGGACCTGTCCAGCGCGTACACATCGATCAATCCTACACCGCGTCCAAGAGCAGAGTCTCCCACCATCTCCCAGACGAGGCACCCGAGCTTCTCAAGGGCCGATACCAGATTATCAATGTCTGGCGTCCGATCAAGACCATCCTGAAGGACCCATTGGCTGTGGCGGATGCACACTCAGTCCCAGATAGTGACCTTGTACCTATCGGGCTCATTTACCCGGACCGCCAGGGTGAGACATATGGCGTCAAGCCGGATCCTAATATCAAGTGGTATTACCGCTATGGCCAGACTCCGGACTTGGTGACTCTTATCAAATGCTTTGATTCTAAGGTTGATGGAAGAGCTCGTCGAGTGCCTCACACTGCCTTTGTTAACCCGGAAACGGAGAATGAAGCGGGACGAGAGAGTATTGAAGTGCGAGCATTGGTTTTCCACCCTGATGATCGTGACTAGGTTGCATCTCCAGAATGGAGTCGATGAATTGCTGTCTTTGTATACTCGTTTTACATTTTTTGGAAGAACCAGATTGATAGGTGCTGAGCTGAGTTGTTAACTTACGAATTTGATGAATTGGTATCTATGAATATCTTACCGGTTCCTTTTGTAAATTGAGTCTGGGTTGCGATTGAGAGAAAAACTGTAACGTAAGACCAAGTCATGTACCGATACAGCAGGTTCGATCGACACCCCGCAAATCCCTGGACTAGTGCCTCGGCTAACCTGGAGATTGGCCTTAGTCTGCAAACTGGCGAGTGATATCATGGAACTAATGAAATGGCTCTATATAATTATTAAAAATAGTCTAAGCTGTAGATAAAAATGCACACAATACAATATATCCCGTCCCCGCAGCACCTTATTTCTCCGCGATGGCCTGCTTCCAAGAGCTGGCAACTTTGCTCCAATACTGTTCAGGATGAAGTCTCATGTGTCCCACATGCGGCGAGCCTTCGAATATCTCAAGATCAACCGAGTAGCCCAAAGTCTTAGCATGAGCAACATTCTCCTCCAAGTCCTTGTAACCAATAATCTCATCTTCCTTGGAGTACAGGTAGACTCTCCTGGAATCGGTCGTGACACAGGACTTATCATTTATGATCCGGTCCGCCCACACACCCGAAGCCTCAGAGCCACTGAGGAGTTGCCACAGGTAACTCGCCCATAGGAACATATACCACATACCCTGTGTAATAACAAAGGGCCAAGGGAAGAACTTGGCGGTACCGACCGCCATGGCACGCGACCACCGGGTAACCTGAGAGGTGAAGACCAGACTTCCCGGTGTGGAATCCAACACCATGAGCTGGTGTGGGAATGGCTTGTCTGTGCCATGGCGTTGCTGGTACGCGACAATGGTGGCGGCAGCGAAGATGGCGCCTGTATTGGACATGGCATGCACAAGAAGGCGCTCCTTTTCGTTCCCGCTGCCGGTTGGCGTCGGGAAGACGGTGTCAACGACCGGCATCATGGCTGCGATTCTGGCTTCCTCGGATTGGTGGGTGGCCTGGAAGGTACGCGATAGGATAACGATGATCCGCGCGGATGGGTAGAGCTCATGGTAGCCGTCGGAGTATTTGGTAACGTGTTTCGGCATACCGTCGCCCCAGCCGGAAATTATGATTGTAGTTGGCTCGTCGGCTAGAGATTCTTTGGCTTTTTCATGGCCATTGCGAAGGTATACCCGATCAGATATCGGGGTGAAGCCTGGGAATGGAATAGGTTGTGGAGCCATTGTGAAGGTATAGGTTGCGGAGTTATTGAGACCTGCGCAAAGGGATAGCTTGATCTAGCTTATTCAAGAGTGTGGCAGGCTGTTGAAACGTTTTGTTGGCTTGGTCTTCTTGTTATATGCTATCGTTCTTAAAAAAAAAAGAAAAGAAAATCTCCTTCTGTGACATAGCGCCTAATATGGAAATTATCCTAATGTAGGAGATAAAACATTGGTCGAACAACAACGGTTGGGATCTGTCTGATCTCCAGCACCAATCTTTGCATGGCATGTGGAGTCGTTGGGAAGAATACTCAGAATACAAAGGTCTTGGCGAATGAGATCTTTGGATACCTCGGCAATTGCCTGATTGGGCGAATTCACATGATTTATGCCCGATGCATAAAATAATGAGAAAGAATAGGAGAGATTTGATTTAATCTTGAATACATACATGTTCGTAGAGATATCTTATTAGAGTCGACTTCAGGTTTATCAATACATACTGCCAGAGTAGTTAACTCTTACTGTAACTGATCTTTTCTTTTTTAAAAAAAGAATTTAGGTCCCATTTATGCATAACACTTGTCTCCACCCAGGAGAAGCCGAAGGACACAAATCCCCGAACCCACACCGAAATCTAAACAGCCAAGCCCAGCCCATTCAAACCGACTATGGCATGCGAACAAATTTGCCTCGGTCGTCCTTCCCACCATCCTCACCCGGACGCGGAAATTTGCCTAGCTTCGGAATGAGAGCACACAGAAATGTCAGACCAAACAGTGCAATTCTCATGATCCAACTTCTGTGCAGAACATCAAAATAGGAGCGTCGCGCACTAAGAAGCGCAGAGCCTGAGAAGGCATCTTCAAGCCCACTTGACCCGGCAGCGATGGTATCCTCGGGATTGCCAGCTAGCAAAACTGGCTGGGAGTAGCCGACCTTGGTGACAATGGCGGGCGATATGAAAGTTGCGATCGCTTTCTATTCATTAGCTCAAGTCCCACTAAATATAAGTGTATAGAGATCGGAACTGACATTTTGAGAAAACGGTAGGGATAATTTTGATCCCGCTTGTCATGGAAAAGTCTCTGCCGATGGCTGGGAAATCATTTGGAAGATTATAGATAATTTTGTCGGCTTTGATTGAGCCATCCTTCCTGGTAGGCGACCCATGCCCCCAATGTAAGTGTTTGTGTATATAACCACACTTCCAAGGCTTCATGAGGGTCTTGTACCCTTGTAGATACGACAGGCTTCATTAAATCAAAACATACCTGCAAGTGCTTAAGGATAGAGGACTTGCGGACGATGATTTCAAACCCGTCTGGTGTCATGGTAGCTATGCGGCTCTTTCGCCGCGCCTCTCGATCAATAAACAACAGGACAAATTGCTCTGCATCTAACGAAGTGGCTGATACATTTCCTTTCCTCTGTTTTTCCCACTGCAGAATCATTCTGCCTGGGTTGGAAATGTCGCTGTTTTTGTCTTTGATAATAAATCGGTAAGATTTAGCGGGACCTGTGCCTACGCTGGCTTGCCAGCTGCATTGTGTGTCACGGAAATAAATAGTTGACGTCGTCTCACCGCTATGGCACATTGCTGCCACAATATTCTTCTGTGAGGTGGCACCATCGCCATACCGCTCCGCATTGCAAAGGTCCTTCGGTGGCCCGGTCGAAGTGGTAATGTACGATTCATCGATAGTCACATAAATATCACCCGTCCTTAACTTGATTCTTTGATGAAAGTCACGACTCAATTTTGGCTTCCGAAATAGCGGTTGCCAGATTTCCAGTACTGGTACTGGTCGGTGATTTTGAGTGGCTTGCTGGATTTGAAGGAGCTTCTTCGGAGCAAGACGAAGCGAAAATTTTGGTGCAGGGCGAGCGATCTGAAAGGCTGTTTGGATTTTGGCTCTTGTGCGCTGAGACGGTCTAAAATATCGGTCAGACAATGTCAACGTTCAAGTCGGTGTGAGGCATGTACCGCTCTTCGCTTCTAACATCTTTTTCATAGACAACTGACTGCGAGCTCATGCTGGGCTTAGGTCATACGAAGATAATGATATTTTGGTGCGACCTCTCTTAGTGGGATAGAAACTTTCTTTTTCCTCATTCACCAACCCGTTGAATGCCTCGGGCAATTTTTATAAGTCTTTAGTTCGTGGCCCTCGGTGCACGAGCCATACCGGGGTACGGGTTTGGGGGTTTAACACGTCGGTTCTTAGGCAGTGACATTTTTCTCCTTTCTATTAATGCCATGAGCTCCAGATGTCTAGAACAAGTATAGCATGTTGTGATTGGCTCTTTGGTGTGATTGTGAGTTGGCCTGGCGAGACCAGATATACTTCCCAAAACGGTCAAGCGCCTTCTGGATGTACAGCCACTTAGCCTTTTTAGGAAGTATTCGAGCGCAGGTTCCTCCCAGAACGGCCAAGTGCCTCCTTAATTCATACACTAAGTATTAGCCCCATAAAAGGCTCCACTTCGGGAAAGTCGGACAGTGGTTCCAGCAGTTAAAATTTATCATTTGGGAAACCAATCATATAGTTTGTTACAAATCTCCTATACATTTTAGATTTTTTACCAATCGCTGCTGTTGATCCTCGTTAGTCAAACCAAAGAGGTTGCGTCTCCACCGGCAACGAACTAAATCAGGAAATAATTGAACGCACATATAGGGTCGGGTTTTAGTTAGCAAGTCATGACTCTAGCCATATCGTAGTACTTACCACTAGGTTGTTGCCTAAGTCTTGGTTTCCTAAAGCAGTATCTATTGAGCGCGCCTCAGAACAGGTGCGAGCTCGATTCTTGGAGAACGGTTCTCACACGCATGCCTATGTGTCCTTCGTGGAAGTATAAAGTAGCCGACAGCCCCAGAGATATGCCCTCATACGTAGTGCCTTCTCCCTTTCTAAGAGTCTGCAGCTTTCATCAATCGTCAGATTTCACACTCGAATCATGTACTTCCTTCAACTACTCTCCCTAGCGATTGCCGCTGCCGTGCTCCCAGTGAGAGCTTCAAGCTGTCCTCCATTCCCTTCTTCGATGATCGAATTCTCTTCTAAGGGTCACCAAGTCCGAACCAGAGTTTTTAAGCTATTATTAAACAGTTAGGTACTTTAATAATTTGAATCATGACAGAGGAGCTATGTGTACGACCAAGCGAAATCATTAGACGTGCTATCGGGCCTCTGGACAAGCGCAAAAACATAACGCCCTGTCAGCCTTGCGCGAACCGACGCGTGAAGGTTTGAGCAACAAGCACTTTGTTTCAATTAGATAAGTTAAGCTTACACGATAAACAGTGTGATGGGGGCCACCCCTGCGAAAAATGCGTCCGGACAAAGAAAATATGTACGTCACAGCGGCTAGAGCAGACACGAGTCAAATTCGTCCATGTTTCGGGACAAATGTTGTCTTCTACGATTCCCATGCAAGTGCGGAAGCATGATGATGCCATATACCTGGATCATTTCGCATCCTTCCTTCAGCGATGCAACTTTACCAAAGACTTCGCTGCCATAAATGCAGACATGGTCACTATCAATGGCAAACACCCTCTCCTTTTCTACATTGCTATCGCAATCGGAGCTTTGGATGCCGGTAGGAAAGGCTCTGTAAGATCATTTGGCGAGCTTGAGTCTCCTCAACAAATTGCATTCCGGGCTTGCGGTAGATCAATACAAGATCTGTATTCAGCAATCTCGACGGCAAACCCAGTCTTTAGAGATGACATGTTTTGGAGCACATTTCTCCATGGTCTTTTCGAAGTATGATTACATTCAAAAGATTGTGAATTCCCACTAATCATTCTCACAGCTGATGGCTGAAAATTCTGGCAACTCATTCGCAAATCACATGGTTGTCGGTACATCGAAAATGCTGCTCCTATTAGAACCTACAAACCCGCTTATGTTGCACACGAAGCGCTTGATCGATGCTTTTTGGATCCTTGCGGCCAACAGATCCATACTTTATGGCGACAATACTACCCTTCTTCCAGCCAAATGGCAGTGGAGCTTGACCCGAGAAAGTTGGCCAGATCCTATGAACAAAATTCTCATGCTCATGATACAGACTTCTACATTTGCTAAAAGGCAAGTCAAATTTACTAAACTTATTGGTGGATGCCGCTAAAACTTTTAGGCTTTTTGACAAAATTGAGAGCGTACCTCAAAAATCGAGATCCTTTGACCCCAGAATGGACGTTCTTGCCCTAGAAGGGCTCGTGATCAAAGAGAGACTTCTCAACTGGCCAGAAGAAAGCCATTTGGGAAGGTTGTCGGCAGATTCTTTTACCAAATTGGCTGTCATCGTTCACCAAGCTCTTCTTTTATACCATTGCAGCAATTTTACTTTTTATTCATGCTGGTCGGCACGGGCAATCCCTCAGCTAAACCAGAGTGAAGTCGACAAAAATATCGCCTCAATTTTGGATCTGTCTCAAATTCTTCTCTCGGATACATGTATTCCGGCAGTTCTCTTGTTATTTCCTCTCCGAATGGCCGGAATCCACGTTTTTGAGATTCATGTACAGGAGAAAGTATTAGGCACCATTCGCAAGATACGACAAAAAGGCTTCATCGTCTCAGATAGAATTGAAGTCGATTTGCAAGAGTTTTGGTACTACAAATTTGGGAAACTTGACTAAAGCGGATGAAATACTACAGAGAAAAAGGAAGAATGGGGGTGGGTGGGATTAGATCGAGCTAGATCGCCAGAAACCTTGACCGTATCTGGATTACTCTCTAGAGTATGCTCATTTTCATCTTTTGCGACATACTGCCTTCATGCCTTCATATTGTTTCTTTTATTTTCAGTAAAGCCCATTGACAAATGACACCGAATGCCTAGGCAAAGCCCACGCCGCAAATATTTAACGAGTTCCACGCTATGGCTACTCCTGGTGAATTGTGGCGGCTTTCTTTCTATCATCCTCGCCAAAGTGATAGATCCCAACGTAGCAAGGTGTTTCCCACGACGACCGATCTGATGCCAAGGGAGATCGAACAATATCTCCATTGATTCAAGACTTCTTCCTGCAGTTTCAGGAACGAAGAACCAAACACCCAGAGAAGGCCCACAACATAAACAGCAGTGCAAAATACAATCATGTAGCAGGTTGCGGTGGTAACCTGAAACTTGTGTGAAACCTCTTTTCCTTGAAACTCATGATATCCAAATGTGGTTATACAATGCCGTAGGCTCATATAAATGCCACACTTCACTGGAATTACTCTTCTTGTTTTCCGTGTGGGCTATTATTTAATTGTTGTCATCTAAGGTTGAAATATTTGTTCATTAGTATAGTTGATCAGTGGAACATTCGGCGGATCCAACTTTATGATGTCATTGCAGAAAGCTGGAGCGTGGAGTAAGGGAACGTGACATCATTTCTTGACCGAAGATAAAGACGTCCTTCGAAATACCTGATATCCTCATACTTTCGACTTCATTCTATAGGGGCGAAAACTTTGCCATGAAAGTCGCAATCCCCCGGCAACGGTCCACCGTCCTACCGCCATCCAACAAACGAGTCTCACGGGCATGCGAATCATGTCGCCAGCGAAAAATAAAATGCAACGGCAAGACTCCAAGTTGTAGGCTATGCGAAGCAACAAACACTCCATGCATTTATCCGCTGAAATCGCGGGAGAAAACCACAAAGTAAGACAACCCAAATACCTCATCTATCTTAATAACCAATATATCAGTACTGTTTTTTACATGCAATTAATTGAAACATGAGCTTAACCTACTACCAGGGAAATTCAAAGTCTTCATAGAAAACTACAGGATTACGAGGCTTTGTTGAAAGAGATAGGAAATGTGGTCGACGGCCAATCTGCCAAGCGCATTCAAGATCTACTTCAGAAGGTGAGGAGTTCATCATACCAAAGGTATGCCTTGGCTAATAATTTGACTAGTACAACTCCAACTCAAGCGATCTGTCAAATGGAACACCTGATACGTCTCATGATCCGACTGAATCGCCTAAGCGATCTAGTTCACCTTCTTCCATCGGATCATTGGAAGCGGTAGACCGAGTCGAGGAAGACATTAATTTAACAGAAAGGTCCCGGGCTACTGGGTATATGGGCAAGAGCTCAGAGATTACATGGATGGGCCGCGTGCAGGAAGAGGCAGAACAGCGAAACCACAGTCAACCACCAAAGGCCACATCCAAAGACCACACCGGGGATAAAGTTTCTCCATCCACGATCAGCTACCATGTTGATGATCTTGGTGTTGATGCACCCGGACCGGTACAAATGTATTGGGTGCCTCCTCGACAAGTGGCAGATCATTTGTTTGAAACTTACCTGCTCGCTGTTCACCCGCATTTCCCTATAATCAACAAGGGTCTGTTCTCCACCCAATACAGGGACTTCTTCGATGATATATCTTATGCGGGTGATAAGTGGATGGCAATATTGAACATGATCTTCGCCATTGCCACGGAATACTTATATACCAGCGATGCGGCACAGCGGAGGGATATCAAAGAACATCTCTTCTACTTAACACGAGCTAGAATGCTGAGTATGGGCGGCGATAGCCTATTTGAACATCCCGATCTTCAGCAAGTGCAAATAGAGGGATTGATTGCATTTCACATGCTATCTACAAACCAGATCAATAGGTGAGTTCATCCAGCCCATTTCCTTACTGAATGAATCTGATAAATGTAGGGCGTGGAGAATCTCGGCTCTAGCTATTCGGTCCGCTACTTCGCTTGGCATCAACCTGAAGAGCAGTTGCCAGAAAATGTCAGGCGTATCGAAAGAGATAATCTGCCGAATTTGGTGGTGTCTTTACACGGTCGAACACACACTATGCTCAATGACTGGTCGGGCAACCTCCATTTCGACCAATATGTATACCACACAATTGCCCCTTCCCTTCGACGAACATCATTTGTCCCAGCCACCAGCTACACTATTTCTTGAGAACTTCGATATCAGACAAAGACGTGTGGACATGGCCATGACTAGTCCGTATATTCGCTATCCCGACCGTCGGCAGACTGAAGATGCATTCGCTGGGCGCTCGTGGCTTCATAGCTTGCCAGTCACTCCCAGTCTTTATTTCTTGTACTACTGTGATCTCACAGTTGTGAACCAAGAAATCCTAGACCACATTTATTCAGCGGAGAGTGCGACGGTATCATGGGACAATATTAAGGGCGGCATCAGTCGGCTGAAGACAACCGTCGATGCATGGTTATCGACTCTTCCACCCGGGCTGGACTTCACTTCTATAAACGACGAAAATGAGAAAACCTACTGGGCGAAAACAAACTTGGCATTCCACTACCATAGCACACGCATCATCCTAGGTCGGCCGTGTCTCTGCCGACACACCCCACATCAGGCCGATAGACCACGGAGGAGCTTCGACGACCGGGGGTTTAGCCACGACATGGCTGTCATGACCCTGGAATCGGCTATTAACATGCTCGATTTGTTGCCCGACGAGCCTAATACTACCCATATATATCGGTTTTGTCCATGGTGGTGTTTCCTTCACTATCTCATGCAGACAGCAACAGTGATAATTTTGGAGCTCTCGTTTCATTGTGTGCACATGCCAGACCGAGGGAGCAGTCTGGTTCAGTCAGCGAAGAAATCTGTCCGGTGGCTTTACATGATGTCCACGCATTGCATCGCGTCACATCGTGCATGGCAACTTTGTGAAAGTGCAGTTCGTCGACTGGTGTCTAGCATGGGATATGACGACAGCGACATACCACAGCCAAGTAAGCAGAGTAATGAGCTGTCTGGTAATCCTATTGACCCTGCGCCACCTCCACAGCTTGCTGGAGGACTTGACGGTGCGCAAGGCTTGCCTTACAATGGTCTCTCTCATGAAAGTCATACTGCGGATCATTTTAGCAATGACGCGGACCGCACAGGTTCTTTGGCGTCTGTGATTTTACCCGCGACGAGTACCCAAGAGCACACTGAAGACTATGTAAATTTCCCTTATGACCCGATTACCGAGGAGTTTATTCGCTATTTCTTTCCTTCTATGGACGGAGTGGAAAATCCGATCAGCGAAAAACATAGATTCTGATTCAAGTGGATATATTTGCCAACAGACACTTGAACAGTGAGAATACCGGCAAGGGGACTCGGAATTAATTCATGGCCCGCTGCGACATCTCGTGCCATCAGTGCCAATGTGTTGCCAGGGAGAGATGAAGACCGGTGGCGAGCATGATTATGGTGAAGGAATTGTGAACAATGATGCTGACACCTCGCTTGGATACATGACTTGAGCGAAAATCTAATCAAGTAGGTAAATCATGATCTGCATTCACTTCTGTTAATCACTTTCTTACTTTGTAGAGGGTGACAAGAGTGCGTCCACTACCATCTATGAATTTTCTGCCTGCTTTGCGTAGCAAGCGTAAAACTGCGCAAAAAATACAATGCCATACAAGGCGGTATATATGTTCTATATGTGATCCTGGAGTTTATCCACACTGTGCCAAGTAATCAAAGAAATAAATGTACAAAGGCCAAATCATTACCCAGCCCCAACTTCAATCCCAGAAAGAGCAATCAGTATTCCTGCTGATCGTTCCAGTAAGTAGTTCCGACGGAGACTTCACCGGTGGGCTCAAGATTCCACCTGAGAATCAACTTAACCCACTGCAACAAGTGACTCGCAATCTTGACATGACCCACATCCGTCAGATGGTTCTTGGGGTTGATATCGTTATGTTGCAGCAAACCCTCGGTGGGGAAATAGTAGACGAAACCACGGTCCTTGAAATGCTCATTGACTTCCCGGGTCTCTTCCTGGTAGTAAGTGCTACCGACGTACTTCTTTCCTTCTTTGGTGAAACCTCCCCATTGGGACTGTTGAGAGTCAGTTAGAGCAATATTTACAGTCAAAGTCCTAAATAGAATAAGACATACCATGAGGAGGATAATCGCATTAGGCCAGTTAGAGTGGATATCCTCTACCAAGTCGACGTAGGCATGGTAGTAATCCCTGCCGGGGATTTCGTTGGGGTGACGGTGATCGTTACCGCCCATTTGGATGATCACAAGATCGGCCGGTTGCTCTGCTTTTACGTCCCACTTCTCGGGGTTGCGGTCATAGATCGAATGGGCGCGAGAGCCGGGGTCTGAGGCACGGTGCCAGTACCATCCCTAGTGGTGTTGTTAGTTGGTGGTGAGGTTCTGGTGGAGATACGGGACTGATGACATACTACGCCGCGAGAGCCGCCGTTGTAACATTGCTCATCGGCGAGACACACGCCAGGATAGGCCTGTGAGACTGTGTTAGTATAACTCGAATTCAGGAATAATCTGGGTTGGGAGAGCACTGACTGTGATGCCATATTCAACATTGCCCAAGCCGTTGGCGAAGAGGAAGGACCACGAGGAGAGTGTCTCATAGGTGGCGAATTGTCCAGATGCAAGCCTTGGGGACGATTAGTTGCAAGGAAGAGTAGGTGGCGGAAGGTGGGAAGACTCACGAGCCGCCGATGATCTCAACTCTCTTCTCGAAGGTTGGGGGCTTAGTGAGGACAGCGTCATTCGCGACAGCTACACCAGCGATTTGAACTGTGTGGACGGTAAGTAACGGACAGATTGAACGGCAGGGAGAGACTTATCCAATGCCCCAATTTGTCACTGCAGTGTAGTTAGTATATAGATCTTGCGACAGGTTTGATGGAACACATACCTCTCATCTCAAACGTATTTTTGCCGACGGGTTCATCGCCATCTTTGAGCTCTGACTCTGGACCAACAAATTGATACGTTGATGAGGCGGTGATATTAGAGAATTGCCAGTCAAGAGAACCGATCCTGCTAACGTTTAGGGCGATGAATACATAGAGGGGGAGATGATACATACCGGTAGGCTACCAGGACACCTGTGTTGGTGCTTGGGCCGAAGTGGACAGCAAGCTACAATGATGTTAATACGTAGACCCATTTTTACGGTTGATCGGAATGGACAAGATATACCTTTTCCCCAGAGAACTCGACTTTGATTCCCGGTGCACTAAGTTAATTAGTAAACCCGATAAAATAATAGAGAGAGTGATACATACGACCACCCTGAGTATCGATCCAAGGTTAGTATTAAGGTTAAACCCAGAATCCGGGGAAGAGGAGCGGGATATGGGGAAACATACAAGATATGTGCTGGCTATCCCAACGACCTTTGTAAGATATCTCCGGAGCATCCGCGGGATAGTTCCTCCACGAATCGTCCAGAGTCACCGGTTGTAACTGCCCTGGGTATGCATTCTCTCTCACTTGACCGTTCTCAAGAATGGTGGCCGAAACAACCAAGGCCCATGAAAGAAGGGTCGTAAATGTTTGTCCAAGCCGCATTTTGGAAGTGACGGAGTTGTTCCTACGCAGATTGCGGTTCTTCTCCTGTTACACTCCTAACCCTCATCAAGTTTCTCCTGACTAAGGGGTAAATTCAGACGGGTCTCAATGGATGTGTCGGGATGAAACCAAAATTGCGTGATCTTGGCCCGCCACCACCCGGCTTTGCCAAGTCTGATGTATTTTATGTATTGTTACTGCAATTACAATACCTTGGAGAACCAGATCCGATCATTTTCTCGACCCTTAAATCTTTTTAAATTGATAAAAGTGGGGATTGGTCCACACGAGGCGGTGTATAGAGATTCTAGAACGGTTTGGAGTGAAAGTGCACAGCTAAAAGGGTATCTCAACCCCGAATAATACGTATGAGGTATGAGGTATGCCAAACGTCAATACCTATCTCGGAGTCGGGGATATAGACGGCCACATAGGGAAAGCCATCACGTACACCCCCGCACACATATTATAATATATAATACCATGCAGGGGAACTTCTAACCTCGGACCACAAAGACGATCTTTTCTATATGAATCCTTCCAGGGCTGAAAGTCAAGTTTCGCATTTTGTCAAAATAAATGGGTCGCCAAGAACCGAGATAATTCCCATTCGATCAGACAAAGATGCACTGTACTGACAGGCGCGGGAAGAAGATCCCCATAGGGCTTGGATTTTTTCTTTTTTCTTTTTTTGTTTGCATCACGTTCGCTATATCCCCCCTAGCCCTATAGATGATATGCTGATTTGTGGTTCTAATAATAGACAAAATGGTAGATATGCGTACGCAAGTTGATTGGGACTTAAAATAGCCAGGTTCAGTCCACGTTGCTTGTGTATACTGTCATGTGGTCGAGAACCGAGGTTAATGGACTCCGTACGGAGTACAATAGTACATAAGACGCAGGTGACGATCAACTGTCATAGGGCAAATAAACAAATACTAAGTTGAATTAATTTCACGTTAAAATTCCAGAAGGACCCATTTTTTCAATAGTCTAGCGTGGCACCTGAATAAGTAATCCCACTTAGTAGGAGCCAAGAGTTTCCTTTGCATTATTGGATGAATTTGATATTATTCAGTTGCGATGTATGTTTCAAATCCCTTCGCTTCAAATCCATCAAGTCCAAGTGTCACATTCCAAAAACAAACAAGAATGTTGTGGTTTTTGTAGAGTTTCCTGCTCACCATTCCTGAAACTGAACGGTGTTCATGGGGGTATCGGGAAGTTCCCGAGGGCCCTGGCGATCTTCACGGAGTCCGAGTGTCAGATAATTTGTACAACCTTGGAATCTGCTCCTTACTCTACACAACACGGATACTTCATATGGAGTTTATACTCATATAGCATACAGAGTAGTACCCCATGAACATGCCCAGGGTCCTCGGTTTCGTATTTGGCGGAAATAGGGGGTTGACTTTCCCTTAAATTCCATCCCCTTTAGTGCCTAGGTAGAGGCCCAGCGTAACCGGATTACAAAGGAAATCAATTCGAAACCTAGATTCCGATTTGCCGCTGAGGATGACCCTGACGAATTAAAATGAAGACTGGGGCTACGTGCGAGAAATGCCAAGATCTGGCGTAATTTGAGGCGGCCTTTAGCCCATGGTTCATATGGGGAAAATAACAGCAGTTGATTGGTCGGTTACATACTAGTTCACGTTGATGCGCAAAGCGTCGTCAGCTTCTATATAATTTGGTAGCTTAATTCGTGAGAGGCTGGAGATAGCTTCAATCTGCTACTTGGGGTTCACCCCCTTACACTTGTTTGTATGGAATCCGAATACGGAGTATGCAGGACAATGCTCATCCCCGACGGCGTAACTACGTATTGATACATACAATATACATACACATGGTACATGTAGGTGTCTGCTCTGGACGCGTTCTCTCATCTACATCTACAATTACAGAGTAGAAGGCAACAGAATACGGTAAACGAGCGGGACTATAATTATGCATCTCATAAATAGTATGTATAATTTACATGTGTCGTCATATAATTGAAATGCCCTTGTAATTTATCCAAACGGCTCCACACTTCAAGCCCCACGCGATACAGTTGTATGTTGTAAATTCCCCAGCTCAAGTTCCTCATTCGCCTCGTACCGGTTTTCCGCCTGGCCAAGATCTTCGACTCGTGGGGATGAATTCGGATTTCTCTTACATATACCCCATTCTCCTATCTTGGTCCCTTTTCCTTCTGAACTTTTCTGCGATCTATGGGGAGATTTCGCATTTCTAGGCTCTCTTAACCTTACCGGTCCCTACCTCTCTTTATACCAGCATCTTGTTATTTTTTGGCATTTTTTAGAGCTTCAACGTTCAATGTTTATGGTCTCATTTGGCTTTCCATTCCGACCAACCCACTAGACACTCCGAGTCTCCTATCGGACTCATTCGGTCTCTCATTCACTCGTTACACTCATCATGGAGTACATACAACCCAACCATATCTACTCACGCATATTGGACAACATTCCCTGGAAGTCCGCAGATCCATCGGTGAAAGGTGATCCGCGGAAAAGTGTGAAGTGGATTGATGTGCGTTCGCATCTCAGCCTTATAGGGATAGGAACTGGTTACTGACCACAATCAATAGGGCCTCCGTGGAATCGCCTCATTCCTAGTTATCCTCACCCACCTTGCCCGAGCATGGGATTATGACCTCTTCGCGCCCCGCGACGATGTTGACACACCTCCCAGAATTCTGCA